ATATATATATATATATATATATATATATATATATATATATATATATATATATATATATATATATATATATATATATATATATATATAAGTGGAAATATTTTTATTTCAGGAGTAAGTTATTTAAACTTACTCCACATCATGTCCGTTAATTATATTTAATCGAATGGTTAAAAATGATAAATAATTAAATGTGGAGAGAGAAACCCTTACTTATTATTTTTAACCAAATATTCCTTCAGACAAATTTAAACGATATTTCCACTTTTGTCTATGGAAATAATATTTATAAAAGACATTTGATTAAGAAGTATATAAAATACATATCATGTGAGAATGATATTTATATGTGAGAATGAAAAGAATAAACCATAACCATTTGATTAAAAGGAAAAGTTTATATTAAAGGATGATTTAAATGAGTCATGTTAAAAATTCCACCGTTCTCAATTTTGACCCTTCTTTCTCTCGCCCATGACCCTTCCACTATTACCAATTACATTATGCAAACACACAAACACATAGTGATAAAGAATACAATGTAAATACTTCAATCCTTTTGTTTTTGAATGTTTCCATCTCTAGTTTTAATATTACTAGATGATTCTAGCACTATCCAAGAAAGACGTTAAGAGAGTTACCATTCCTGTAACACTCCATACACAACTGACAAGTGTATTATGCATGAAACGTTAAAATTGATACTAAGTACATACAAAAGCTATATAATACATAATGATCCATGTATAACAAAATGAAGCTATATGATATGTTAAAATTGATATTGAGTACATACAAAAGCTATATTGATGAATCTGCACAGCGAAAAACTGGATCTAGCATGATCTTCCTGCCAACAACTCCTATGAGGAGCACGATACAAATCTTCTAGCAAAATTTAGACTAACTATGAACCTATAAAATAATCAACAACATGGGGTGAGATTACTAAATCTCAGTAAGTTCCTTTATCTTGTGGGTCCACTTGGTTCTACATGGTCATACAATATACAACAGATCCACCATTGATTCGAGGTTAAAATTCACATCCAATACAATTACAGAGAGAACATATAAACAAGAGGTATTTCTCATTAGGGCCTTAACCACCAATGTAGAACCAACATCGGCCACACAAGGCTTACGAGTCATCGTCGTCTTATACCTACATGGTTGAGCAACTCTCCAGGGGTACATCATCCCTGCAAATAAATAACACACCATCATCCTACCGATGTCACAGACTAGACTTGCAAGCCTACGAATCATTCCGGCCTGCAGATGGTCATCCTGATGAATCTTACACGCCTACGTACACGTCAGACCATATTGCTTAGCCTATCGATATAAGGTGATATGACAGACCTACAAGAATAGACTGTAAATGCTTATCCAAGATAAGTCTTACACGTCTACATTCAAGGACTACTCGGCTACCCATCACCAATAATTAAGGGCACCGCGAGTACCGATGTATCCATATAACATAAACAAGCCTACAAGATGGACCACAAATGCTTATCATCGATAAGTCATTCACGCCTACATTGAGGACCGCTTTGCTTAGTGCATCACATCTCAGGTAACCTTACATGCCTAGGAACTAAGTCGGACCGCTCTGCTTAGGTCACCAAAATACCCAACATTTTAGCCAAACGATACATACAATCAAGCAAGCATATAATGACATAATATAACATATGATCATATCTAAAACATCATATTGTTAGCACTTAAGAATTTATACCTCATGTGTATAAAATCGTGCATCATACCTCATCATGGTTGTAACTAAACATAAATAACATAAATCATCTACATATGATACATATGCATATACCACAATTCTTACTCGAACGTCGGGTCATAACCGATCTATGCTTCCACCATAGGCTATAAAGGCTAGTTGTTTGCTAACCGGAACAACATACGCACTCGGGTTCCAAGATTGATAAAACCAATCGACAAGGAGTTAGCTCGCCCACAGAGCGCGCTTAGTGTGCTCACACAAGGATTTTCACGCTTAGTGCGTCTAGAGCATGCTTAGCATGCTCAATCAAAATCTGAAAACCCAAAACCTAGGGGCTCGCGCTAAGCGGGCTATACCACACTCATCACGCCTTACGATTCCTGTAAAAACATAAACGTGACAAGAACAAAACCATGAGGTCTTTCACCCCAAAAACCCATTGCATGCATGGAATACCATCACAAGAACAACCAGGGGCATCGTTATCACAAAAAGAACAAATAGATACATCAAATTCACGCTTGATCATGGACTTCTCTCGAAATCCCAAACCCCCAAAATTTCCCAACATGCAAAACCCCGTGTTAGGCAAGCGACACAGACAATCAAGCAAGCATACAATGACACAATATAATATATGATCGCATCTCAAGCATCATACTATTAGCTTATAAGAATTCACACCACATGTATATAAAATCGTGTATCATAACCCATCATGCTTGGAACTAAATATAAATCATCCACATATGATACATATATATACCACAATTCTTACTCGAACAACTGGTCATAATTTCTCTATGCTTCCAGCATAGGCTATAGAGGCTAGTAATTCGCTAACCAGAACAACATACGCACTTGGGGTCTAAAACTGATAAACCTAACCAGCATGAAACACTCTTAGCGTCCACAGAGTGTGCTCAGACATGGATTTGTGAACTTAACTCGACTAGAGTGCACTTAGCGTGCTCAATAAAAATTTGAAAACTCAAAGCCCAAGCAGTCGTGCTAAGCTGGCTATAACACATTTAGCGCACCCTACGAATCCTAGAAAAATAGAAACGTGGCAAGAAAAAAACCATGGGGTATTTCACCATAAAACCTATTGCAAGCATGGAATACCATCACAAAAACAACCTGGAGTATTGTTATCACAACAGGAACACATAAATACATCGAATTCATGCTTGATCATGGACTTTTCTAGAAATCCCTAACCCCCAACATATCCCAACATTTAAAACCTTGGTTCCTATGTACGAAACTCACCTAGGTAATGACCAGGATAAAAACAGAGTAGGAAACTTCCTTCGATTCTTGATTCCGACTAGATTGTTGAAGTTGATCTTGAACTCTTGCTCCTTTCTTCTTCCTCTTGTACATGCTCCTCCTTCTTTTTTTTCCTGTTCTCTTTCTTAACTGATAACAATGAGAACAAGTTTTGAAAAAATCCTTAGGATAGTTTAGGGGCCAATGACCATAATGCCCTTATCCTTTTAATCCATGTTTCTACACACAAAACCATATGATAGAATATTTGAAAACTTGGGTTCTTACAATTCCTATGAATGTAGACCTAATATTTACAATGCATTTCAATAATGGTCTTGTTTGAACATTATTATAGCATTTTTTATTCCTCTTTGAGTTGATACAATTGCATTTTGTTCATTACAATTAACATTCTAGTTGCAGCAGGGAACTAGAACAAAATAACAGATGAAAGGTTAGTGTCAAAAGTGATGAGTCAGAACATGTGTTTATAAACATGGTAATAACACCATACACGATTGTTGTAGATAGAGTAATAATGTTGATTGAGTTTAAAAGAAGAGTGTTTTAATTCTTACAATATTTGCAAATTTGTGATAGATTGAGGAATAAATAACTTCTTTATTAGACATTTACAAATATACTAGTAAAATTAGACATATACAAAATAATTATAAAAGCTTTATAAAGAAAAACATTATTATGGTTCAAATTATTTGTATATGTATATTTTTGTTTAGATCTTTGTTGAGATATGACATAATTGAGCATATTTACGTTGTAAGCAAGTTATTTATGTAACAAATATGATACATTTAGTTATGTTTTATCAAAAGGTTCAAAAAATCGTAAAATGTGAAAAATAGAAAAACTAATAAAATTTTAGGAGTATCATGTAGATAAGATCAAAATAAATTGATAATGTTTTACAAATAAACTATAATAAAGAAATTTTGATATCTAATCAATCTATGGTAGAAAGTTAAACTTCAATTTATCTAAAAGATATTTCACCAAGATTCAATCACCACACTATCTTCCTTCACTATTACTAATCAATCTAAATTTTCAATTGAAAATAAATCTTCAATTAAATATTATTACATTTATATTTAATAAATACTAAATTTTATAATTTTAAGGCCTAAAATTTCTTTTAGAATATTTTTTAAGGCCCAAGACTAAGTTTTATCCTACCTTACTCTTAGGTCGTCTCTGCTTCCCAATTACCAAAATATACAAATATTTTCTATTATTAGACAAAGACTCAAAAATAAATTACATTTTCAAAATTATAGAAGTTGAATGCTCCTTCAATTATCATTTAAAAAAATAATATTCTATCTTCTTTAATAGACACATGAATACTCTTATTCTACCACAACAACAATAAAGTATGACCACTTTGGCCCAGTCTAAGAAAATGGTATATATCCTTAAACAAATTAATAAAAAAAAGTAAGCATAAAACACAAAAAATCACCCCATCAACAAAATTATTTATTTCAGTAAATATAAAAGTTTTAAAAATTCAAAGTAAACATAAAAAATATAAAATGATAGTCAATCTATCTAGAAGCATGGATGTTTGGGTGAGGGAGTTACTGTTGCAGTCATCACATACTCTCACTTGTCCAGCTTCAACAATACATGGGAAGTGATATTCTTTTCAATCTATTCACTGTGCTAAAAAGAGTTTTGGCAGCACAACATAGACAACACTTTTATCAAAAAGCGTTGCTATAGCTTTTAAAAAAAAATCGCTTAAAAAAACGCTGTTAAAAGTTACTCTACGAAAGCGCTTTTTATAAGAGCTGCTAAAGATTAACCTTAGAAAGCGCTTTTAAAAAGCGCTGTTAAATCTAGATTTTAGAAAGCGTTTTTAAAAGCGCTGTTAAAGTTGGACTTTAGAAAACGCTTTCATAGATAATTTTATTTTTAAATTAAAATTCATAAACCCTAAACTAACAAAACACGATTAGTTTCTCACTTTCTCAGAAAACACTATTTCAGCCGTTCTTCTCTTCTCCGCCGACCCATTTTTCTTGCCGTTCCGCTGTCTCCTTCCGTCGTCGTTCTTCTTGCTGTCGCTGTTCATCTTCCGCCTCACCTCCATCGTCGGTCTTGTCTGCTTCATCCTCTTGATTCCCTTCACCACCAACTCGCCGTCATTGTTAGGGTTCAAAGATTTGACGTAATGTTTTGATAACCACAACATTTTCTCAGGTAACTTTCTTCACTCTTTTAATCATCCTCTTGATGCTATCACTGCTTTCAAATTGGCATTTTATTGATTTTCAAAAACTACCATATCCTGTATCCGTGGGTGTGGGTTCGGTGGCAGAGAGTAATAAAATAGACAATATGAACACCTTAACAATTGTTTTAATTTGTATTCTTCACTATATATCCATTATGTGTATTATACATAAGATAAAAGTATAACACAATGGTTGGTTACCTTGATAAAAAGAAAAATAAAACACTATACTAGACTCATTCACACACATAGAGAGACCCTTCATAAGTAGAAAAGCCAAACAAAATATAGGGTCTTGTTGAGAGATAGAGAGTATCATAAAAGCAAGTACTCGCTCTCCTTTACAGGAAGATTCCCGGGTGAATCACAGTTTTATCCCCATTTACTCAAAGGAAAATAAGAATGTTACTCTTAAAAAAACACCCAAACCCCTGTTCCCTTACCTCCTTTAATCTTTCTTTATCCTCAGAAATCTTTCTGCTCATCATTTAGGTTTACACCTTTATGGTTTTGAGGTAATTTGTTTAATCTATGTATATTAAGGTAGTTAATGATTCGATAATCAATGACATGTAATTAATTTGATTATGATAGAAATTAGATTGTGTGTATGTTAACATGCTTATGTTTTATTATGTGTATATCTCAGTCACATGATAAGAGTTGATGTAAAATTTTATTGAAATTATTAATTTTGGCTATTAGCTGGTCTTATTTCAAAATCATAGATAGTTGTTATTGACACTTATCAATTAGTTTGATTAAGATGTTATGACACATAGTTGAATGAATGAATGATCAAGATAAGTCTAAGATTCACAACAGTATAGCTTACCTTTCAACAAAATTACTAATGTATCACAAAGTACAAAAAGAATTAATTAAAAAGGAAACAGAAGAGGGAAAATCAAAAGTAAACTATTATTATCCTAAAATATGAAATGTACATAACAAATACATATAGCCTAACAAACAACAACAAAGTAACTGAAATATATGATAGTTTATGCAAAACAATGAATCAAGAGTATCATATCATATATTATTCAGCAACTGAAAACTCTGTGAACCAAAAATCTGGTGAGAAGGGCTTTGAACAAAGACAGCTACACCACATTTGCTGCTATTGAATCCTCCCCACAAAGTAAAGCTAACACTTGCTGTTATTGTCTTCTTATCAGATATGTCTTTTTCAGTCGAGAGTTTTTCGAGCTTTCTAACGACATAATCGTTTGATAGAACATAACCTTTGTTCTCTCCTCTTGGACAATCAGTAACTATATTGTTTTCATACAAGGCTACCATGATATTCACACCATTACTATCTACTTTGCTCCTCAATGCTCCTGTTAGTGACACCATTACTGTCTACGGCGCGAACGAAAAAGAGAATGAGAATTGGTATATTTGAGTAAAGCTGATGTGGTTGTGTTATCGAAACCAACATCGAAAGCACTTGAATAAGCTCTTGCAGCCATTGAATATTGACCGGGAAGTTGATTTGCTTCTAAGAGAATATCCATTGATTGGCCTGGTGTGATTATTATGTAATCTGTTTCTATTGGTTTTAAGTAAAATCCATTTTTGGCAACTACTGTCAATTTATGGTTCGCTATTGCGAAGAAAAGTTGATGAAACTTGAAAATACCTAGTATAATTGGAACATCATTATGAGGTTTATGAAATGGATAAGTGTGTCCTTGTTTGGGATGAATGATGAGAGCTCCATGAATTGTTGCTCTTGCCCAACCATTATGTGCATGCCACCATATTGTTTCTTCTTCTATTGTCAAATGTATGATTTGTTTGAATACATTTCCTGGTTTAATTGGACATTGTGTTATGTATTCAGGTCCATCTGACCATGGATTCCTAACATGTCTTGTACCATGTCTGCAATCAAACACTCTTCCAATCAATCACTTGGGTTTGGGTTAGGTTTGGAACCTTAGGATCGTCAATAAAGGTGTGCAAAATGAGTAAATGTCTCAATAACACTTTTTACTATTTTTAGCATTTTCTTGTTCTACATTTTTCATAAGATAGATATTCAAAACTAGAAGGATAGATTTTTTTTTTGTTGCTGTGAATGTTGCAGCATTTTCAAAAGATAAAGTTGAAAGGTGGAATGGAATCGCTGTGGAAGGTTTTTCAACTTTCATGGGAATTCATCATTCAAGCATTGGATCGGGAAATTTTCTTTAGGTTTCAGTTTTTTTAATTTGAGTAATTGAAAGTTCTGTTTTGCATGGGTCCTTAGATTGTGCTATGTATGGATGTTGCATTGTTAGGTTCATGGGTTATGATAATAATCGAAACACTGGTCAAGTCGAGAAGCATAGAGATGATAATAATTGAAACACTGGTCAAGTGCAGAAGCATGGAGATGTTAAATTGAGAAGCACTGATCTGATTCGATCAAATAGTAGGTGTTTAAAATTGACACTGACACTCGTGATTACGTTTCAGTGTCCTGTTGTGTTTCATCTGTACTTCATAAATTATAACACATGACTTTAAATTTTTAGGATAAAATTGTGAGTAAATAAACCCTCGTAATAGATTTACTATGGTTAAACCATACCAAACCAAATTATACCCAAATTATGTCCTAAAAATAAAGTTGTACTCAATATTTTGTTTTGGATAAATGTTTAAACTATAGTAAATTAAAAAGAAAAGAAAATTACTAATGTTTGAAACAACATTTACTGTCAAGATGTTCTTGCTACTACACAATCTTTTAAAATATGAAGATTTTACCATTACTTTTAGATTAATTTATAACATCTAATTTTATTAGATGAATGTGAAAAGTGTTTTTAATTATAAAATGTAATCTCATAAAATAATCCAGTTTTCACTCATACATACATTGCTATATATAGAGTTACTTGTGAAGTGTGAAAGTCTCGTCGTTTACAAGAATCTGACACTGTGTGGGTCTAGAAGTCGCTTATTTCTCTACATGTAATTACTTGTTCTCTCTCGCCACTGTAATTAGTTGTGCTTTGAATGAATTGCTATGATAGATCGTTTCCACTGAAATTAGTTGCTTACTTCTCTACTTGTGAATGAACTCTATTAATTAGTGGTTGAGTCGGTTTTTATTGTATGAAATTTTTTATAATATAAGTTTTCTTTCATTTGAATTAGCAGCATTTCCCGACCTAGTTTGACGTACAACGCTCATTCTCTGCGTTTCCTTGAGTTCGGTAAATCTGAGGTAAATTTCTTCCTCAAATTACTGGTATTGTGATGAATTTTTCAGAAATTGCGTGAATTTGTTCCCTAATTTATTATTTTTGTTTAGCTTAATTAGTAAAACCATGGATAAGACATGGATGGATTCCAATCGATTGTCGAAAGAATACGAGAATGGGGTATCGAAATTCGTTAAGTTTGCTGTTGCGAATGCCAAAGACCCCAGTCGAATGCCATGTCCTTGCTTGGGTTGCTGTTATGGGAGTCAGGTTGACGCGGTTTAATTGACATCACATTTAATACGGTATGAAATTGATAGAAGTTATACATGGAATGTTGAATCGGGGAATAATACGACCTATGCTTCAAACGACAATTGCACAAATACATATGATTATGATCGATTCAAAGAGATTGCAATAGCGCTTGAAGAAGATCTTAATGATTGTCCCAAAATGTTTAAGAGGTTGGTAAGCGATGCAAAGAAACTATTGTATAATGGTTGTACAAAATTCACAAGATTGTTTGCGGTATTAAAGTTGTACAACTTAAAGGCGGGCAGTGGATGGTCGGATAAAAGTTTCATAGAGTTATTAGTCCTTATTAAAGATATGCTACCAGAGGATAATGTTCTTCCCAATCAAACGTATGAGACCAAAAAGATGTTGTACTCTATTGGCATGGGCTATGATAAGATACATGTCTGTCCAAAAGATTGCGTTTTGTTTCGAAACGAGTATGCATCGTTAAATGAGTGTCCTAAATGCGGTGCCCCTAGATATAATAAAAATTTGTCTCTAGCAAAAGTCTTATGATATTTTCCTATAATTCCGAGATTTAGATGCATGTATTGTAGTGAAACTGATTCAAGACAGTTGACTTGGCATGCAGATGAAAGAATTATTGGTGAAAAGTTCCGACATCCGGCAGATTCACCAAAATGGGTGAAAATTGATAATGATTATCCTGAATTTGGAAAAGAAGCAAGAAACCTTCGCTTGGAATTGTCTACTAATGGAATGAACCCACCCGATATTCAAAGTATATCGCATAACACATGGCATGTGATTCTTATGATTTATAACCTACCTCTGTGGCTATGTATGAAACGTAAGTACATGATGTTATCTATGTTAATTTCTGGGCCTAAACAACCAGGGAATGACATAGACGTATACTTGGAAACTTTAATCGAAGATTTGAAGATTTTGTGGGAGAACGGTGTGGAGGTTTATGATGGGTATTTGAAAGAAAGTTTAAACTTGAGGGAGATGTTGTCTGGAACAATTAACGATTTTCTAGCATACGAAAATCTATCCTGGTATAGCATTAAAGGTGAAAAGCGTGTCCTGTATGTGAAGATGGAACCGATACGACGCGATTGAGAACATGTCAGAAGAATGTCTTTCTTGGTCATCGTAGATTCTTAAATTCTAAACATCAATATCGTGGTTGGAGAAAAGCGTTCAACGGAGATACCGAACAACGTAGAGCTCCGCCTGGATTGACAGATGATCAAATTTTTGAAAAAGGTGAAAGATGTGAGTATTCAGTTTGGAAAGCCTTTTGCATATAAAGTTGTCACAGGTGGGTGGAAGAAGAGGTTGATTTTTTTTGAATTTCCATATTGGAAATCTTTGTTCGTAAGACATTTTCTTGATGTTATACATATTGAAAAAATATATTTGACAATGTTATTGGTACATTACTAAATATAAAAGGGAAGTCTAAGGATGACCTTAAAGCAAGGAAGGACATGGTATAGATGGAAATAAGAACTGTATTGGGACCCATGAAGAAAGGAAGACGAACATATCTACCACCTGCTGTTTATACTTAGTCTAGAAAGGAGAACAAAATATTGTGTAAGTTCCTAAGTGAAGTTAAAGTTCCAGAAGGCTATTCATCAGATATTAGAAGACTTGTGACTATGAAAGACCTCAAGTTAAAGAGTTTAAAGATGCATGATTGCCATGTTATAATGGAACATTTTATACCGATAGGTATACATTTTATTCTTCAAGAGAAATTAAGAAGCGCAATAACTAAACTGTGTTTTTTCTTCAAGTCAATTTGCAGTAAGGTGATTGATCCCAGGATCTTACCAACATTGCAAAAAGAAATAGTTGTTACTTTGTGTGATCTTAAAATGTATTTTCCTCCCTCATTTTTTGACATAATGGTTCATCTTGTCGTTCATCTTGTGAAAGAGACACAATTGTGCGGACCAGCTTATATGAGATGGATGTACCCCGCTGAATGTTATATGAAAATATTAAAAGGGTATGTGAAAAACCGAAGTCGACCCGAGGGCTGTGTCGTGGTGAGCTTTTCGCGAATCCGAGGCTATTGAAAGATCCAAGATTCATTTGAAAAGTTTAAAGAGCCGCCACCGTCTTTTTTACTAATTAAAGAGGGAAAAAACATAAAACCCTTCTCGCTTTGAGATTCATGGGTAAGTTAGTCGGTTACACGAGGGGAAGGTGTTAGGAACCCCTCGTATCCTTGGTACTCCAAGAGAACCACTCTTGTTATTGCCTTAATTTATTGTTTGTGTTAGGTGAGAAAAGAGAAAAAGGTGTGTGGTTGATTTTATTTGGATTTGAGAAGATTCATGTAGACATCCTTTGCATACGTACCAACCCCAAGTGCAATGGGGGATCAAAATCCGCGTAGTTCTCCTAAGGGGTTTTAAAGTGTGTTAATATTGATTTTAAGTCAATTACTACTTTTTTCACTAGGTTGATATCCCAAGTGGGAGAGGTCATGAGAAGAGGGAGATAAAAAGAAAATAAAGATGAATTGGTGAGTTGTGTTCATTTTAAGTTTGTGAGTTTAAGTCAGAGTATAAGTTAAGTTAATTTTAAAGTATTATTTACATGCAAAGTAAGGGTGGAATATACTAAATGAAGATTTGAAGGGCTACCTCTATATGTTTTAGTGCAAGAAAATAAATTTAGTTTCGATATGTTCAATTTTAGCTTTTTCTTGTTTCCTTTAAGGCATTAATGAAAGCGGTAAATAAAATAAACCTATGGAGGCAGAACAACCTCAACGATGCACGGATGAAAGCAAATGATAAATAAGGAAAACAAGATAAACAAAGGATAAGGGAGTGAAGGCAATGAGCCCTCATTTGGTCTTTTGAGTTCCTTCTCTTTAGGTTTCCTTTTCACCACGTGATCTAAAACCTTAATGTATGATATGGAACAAAAGAAACAAAATTAACAAGTGTATAATATGAACTAAAATGAGGAAAGTAAAGAGTTATTAGAATTAAAGTAGATCAAAGTAATATGTGTAAAAATGTAAACAAAGTAAAAAATAAGTCAAGAGATGAAAAGACAATATTCACAATGTAACTTAACAAGGCAAACAAAAGCACACAAATTTGAAGTTCAAATTTCGAAGCTTCAAATGCAAAAACTTAAAAAACAAAAAATGTTCCAGAATGAGTGTAGAATGTCCATGATTTTTTTCCAGATTTTTTAGAGAAGATTTATTTCTGTTTTGAGTCTAAAAACTAACAACACATGCGAAAAGAATGCAAACAAAACAAGCTCAAAAAGATGCAATCATAAGAGACATGAAAATGCTTCAAAATCAGAGAATGTATCAAAGTAGGATGTTAATATATGAGTCAAGAATGCACATACCAAATATCAAAGCAATACCATGCACCAAATGAAAAATATGCACAAAACGGTGAACATACAAACAATGCGAAACACACCAAAACACAAGGGCAAAAAAAATGTTAACGGTATAAGTTCAAAGGTTCGACGCAAAATTTAAAGCAAAGAGAATCGAACGACACAAGTTCAAAGGTTAGACTCCATGATGAGGAGATCAAAGAACCATGTTCACTATGCGTTCGACCCAAGTTCAAAATTTCGCCACCCAAATGGGCAAAAGTAAAATCGAGGGTAAACAAAACGGTATGCACAATGATAACGGATAATATAACAATGACAATAATAGTATATTCACAATGATAATAATAGTATAATCACAAGCAATATAATATAATGACAACGAAAGTAAAGAGTTTAAGGGTGCGAGATGGAAATATAAATTATAGTAGTATAGTATAATATTTACATAGTAATATTTTCCGATTTAAGGCAACCAAAACGATCAATAGTGGTGGAATGATGCTTCTAGGTCAAGGTTAGTGAGAATTCATCATAAGATTGATAAAATCAAAGCCTCTACACAATGAATATTACAAGTTATGAACCATAGAGAAAATAAACCACCAACATTGGGCTTGCACAACATTAAGCTTGGGCCACGAATGCTCGTTTTCCGATTTCGGGACAAATGTCGCGCTATGTTAAGCAATCGCCAAGTAACTTATATAGAAGTCACCCTGCAACGAGGTCGGTCTTGGATATATGGGCTAATGTATGCTTGAGTAATAGTATGAGAACCATGCTCGAAAGAAACAATACCGCATGAAAAGAATAAAGGGTAAACGGTCTCGTTTTGATTGCGATTCAAATGAAAGAGCATGATCTTTAAACGTTCATCGACCAAAATAAAAGAGAATAAAAGATTGAAATGGGTGTATAAGGTATGAGGACATCATATTTCCAAGAGCCATAAGGGGCACAAATTAAATTGGGTGAAGAAAATGGGCTTAGAACCCTAAAAACCCTTTAAAAAACTAAAAAATTGAAAAATACACTGGTGTAACCGGTTAGCACATATGCTACAACCGGTTACACTAGTGCAGCAGAAACAACATTTTCAGTTCTGGCAGCATGTATGTTTTCAAACCCGTTTTAATAAGCCATTTGTAACTAAAACCAAAGTGCACGAAAATTGCAACAAATTATGATTAAATATCTTGAATCAAACACCAAAAAATGCATCAAGGAGTCAAGAAGTCAAAATCAAAATCCATTTCCATGATTAAAAACTCAAGATCTTGAAATCTTACCCAAAAATGATGGCAACTTTAGAGCTCTCTCAAACACAAACCAAAGAGTAATAAAAACTTTAGATCTCTCTCAAATGTAAACTTCAAACTATGGAATGAATTGAAAAAAATAGAAATGGAGGGGCTTAGCTCAAGAAGTGATACAATTCAATGAAAATTTTATCGCCCTTAAAAAAGTGAAGATGAATGAGCTTTGAGTATGAGGTTTTTTGGAAGTTTGGAAGTTGAGAGAATGAGGATCAAAGGTTTGTGGCTTTCAAAGCTTGAATAAATGAATGAATAGAGCCCCCTATTTATAGATTTATAAATGGAAATTAGGGTTTCATTAAGATTAGATCAATGGTTATGTATAATTCAAGAGAAATAAGAAAAAAAATGCATTATAATGTCATTAGGGTGATGTCATGTTGATGATGTCACCCAATGATTGGGTCCAAATGATTGGAGGCCCAAAATCCAAGAAAACCACCCAAACTATTTTTTTTCAAAATTCACACGTGGTAACCGGTTGTAGCATATGTGCTAACCGGTTACACCAGTCAAAATTCCAAAAAATCTTCTTTTCATCTGAGTTCAGGGATGTCCACTCGGAATCTGTTCTTGATGCAATTTTTGATGAAATTGATATTCTTGGGTAGCAAAGTGCTTGAATTCATGAAGGGACTTGTGAATGTTGGTCAAATTATCTACCTTTTCTGTCTGTTTCTGTGCATGATTAAATTGCGTTATTTACCCTGATTAATGACGTTGTTTGCCCTGATTAAAAGAAAACACTAAACAAAAGGGTTAGTTAAAAGAAATAAGTTACAAACAAACACGCCTTTTAGTGACGAGACAAGCCAAACCGGAACAGGAAAATGAAATCACCGGACCAAACAAAGTTAACCAAGCTTGTGATCTCTTTTCTCAAAGCAAAACATGAATGAATGACAATAATTATGAATGAAATCTTAGAGGTTAAAAATGGGGTTATGACATTTGTCCCTATCAAAATACTCTTCAGCCGTGAGAGCATTAGACCGTTAGTTCTTTTGATTGAAGAGACTGAGAGTATTTCGATACAGAATACCCGATTTTTGTCCACTAAGATGAATGAATGCATTTACTGTAAACAATGAAACATTTTTTTTCTTTTTTTATGCATATGCTTATGTGATATGATGCTGAGAGATTTTAAACACTTTTAAATGAACAGAGGTTTAAGAACTTAAGATTTGAGGATTTGTTCTGAACCCGACTTTACACTTCCCGAGTAACATAGGTTTTTAAGAAAAGCAATAACCTGGAACTGGTTTTTACACAAGCTAATTACAAGGATATGAACTTGGTTTTACACTTGCCAAGAACAAAGAAAAAGCGGTCATCTAAAACTAGTTTTTACACACGCCAATTACAGAGATATGATCTTGGTTTTTACACACGCCAAGGACATGAGAAAGCAATAATCTGAAACTGGTTTTTACACACGCCAATTACAGAGATCTGAACTTGGTTTTTACACACGCCAAGAATATGAGAAAGCAATAATCTGAAACTGGTTTTTACACACGCCAGTTACAGAGATCTGAATTTGGTTTTTACACATGCCAAGAACATGAGGAAACTGGTTTTTACACACGCCAATTACAGAGATCTGAACTTTGTTTTTACACACGCCAAGAACATTGAAAAATAATTTTGCCTTTTGATCCAAGTCTTTCTCCTGAAAGGCACAGACAAATTTCTCCAGTCCTTAGAGATTCCTAGTCAATGAGCGATCCTCTTTCTGCCTGAAATTGAGTTCTATTGCTTTCGTGTCAGCAAACACTCCTTATTCTTCAAGTATTTCTCCTATCGAAGCCATATATGAGATCACTACAAATTTAAAAGGATGAACTTTCGCCTGTCACAGACGACATCACTACAAATTTTAAATTGAGGAGCATTCATCTGAAATTCAGCTTAAACTGAGCATTGCTGATGCAAGGGACTTTAATTGGTATAAAAGAGCTTGGTTGCATGTTTAAAGTATTTGATTAAGCTTCCCAACTTTCTTGGTCTTAACCTCGAAAGGGACTCAGCTTATTTCAATGAAACCTCCCAACTTCATTGGTGCACGCTTAGGAAGGGGCTCGGTTTCACAAAATTTTGCAATTTATTGTTGATATTTTGTTGATGACTTCACCGGGGAACAATAGTATCAACAGTTAGTTGTGGGAGACATGAAATACAAAACCCTGCTGGGGGTGTTTTATATCCAGAATATGAACCGGTAAAAGAACAAACCTTGTGGGGAAATGTGAAGATTTTTAACTTTATGGGGAAACCAAAGTATAATCTAGGAACTAGCTGGAGAGAAACTATAAACCGATACACTGACTGGGGACACACTTACCTGTAGCAAAAGTCTCAACTCTAATGAGGATGATTCCTTGATTTAGGAAGATCCGACGGAGGAAGATTCTTTGGGGAACAAATGCAAATGGGCAACAATTTATTTATTTATGCAATGATTTTAATGATATGTATGCTTATTTAATGCATGCAATGTAATGAGAATGCTGACAAAACTAAACGCTTGACTTTACGGGAAAAACATGACCACAAGAACTAATGGACCACTAGTATCTATCACAAGAAACCTGTCAACATCAGTTTGATCATAGTCATTCGAGGATACATATATCTGCAAACTCTGCTCTGTCGGGGAATAAATTCTGTTTGGGGACAATGGATCCCGAAAACAGTAACTCTTCTAGAGAACAATCAACTCGACTGGAGAATTATCTATTGTCAGATAGATGATACATGATCGAACTCATGGGAGGATTTAGCGATCATGATCTGCAGAACAAGACTGTTGCTGAGGAGAACATATTCAAGTTTAAGGGATACAGTAATCCATAATCCACTGGGGAGTAAATGCAAACTCTATTGGGGATACCCAAGTGATTCTGATCCATTGCGGAAAACAAAGCACACTTTTACTTGGGAAAAGACACCAACTCCGCTGGGAACGAACAAGTGATTCCGTACTGCTGGGAAAGATCTGGAATAGATTATGTTTGGGAAACACCTATGGGAAATACATTCAATCAGATTTCTCCTGGGGAGATATCCTGGATAAAATGGGGAGTTTTTAACTGCTGAAGAAATCAACACATGACCGAACTCCCAAGAGGATTTCACCGATCATGATCTGTAAAGGTGAGACTGTTGCTGAGGAGATAATTTCTCGAGTCTCTGCTAGGGGATATAGAAATCCGAAATCTTCCCAAGAGTAAATGCAAATTCAAATGGGGATACACAAGTAACTCTGGTCTGCTGGAGATGAGTTGTAAACTCCGCTGGGGAACAGGTATATGCTACGCTGAATAAATGATGCTGACTTCTGGGAGAACAAGTCAAGAACATTACTAAGGACATGTATCAACTCCGGTGGGGATGTGGAAGTGATTCTGACCTGTTGGGGAACATAAGTCCCAAATTGCTGGGGAGATACTAACACTTCTGAATACAAATATCTTTAACTGCTTGGGGATAGCGAACAGGCTATCTGCTGGATATGGTAAGACAGCTATCCGCTGGGAAAAGAGACAACCATCTGTTAGGGATAAAAATTGAGTACTGCAGGAGATGCGGAATTTTCAGAACTCTGTGGGGATAAAAGATCTCAAACTCTTAGGGATGCCCCAAGTTTATAAACAAACACCAATGATGAGTTCCTTTACATGCAACACCAAAAAATGATCCAACTCCGTTGTAAGGGAGGATTTTGCGGATACATTTCTTCTACTGCAGGCGCTCAGCGGGGAGAAGAATGTAGATTCCATTGGGGAGACACACCTCTTGTGCTTTGTTTGTTGGATGTTGGGGATAGACATCCACCATCTGATCACGAATCTACAAGGGAGAAGGGATAGTGATTATGGAAAATAAATCTGATCGAGTGATCAGAAAGCGTCCAGAGACTGCACTAGGGAATCCATCACTGTAACCTTATTGCACATGCATATTCTGAGTAATTTAGAGAAAATTTTATTTTGAAAACATGTTTGAATTTAAATTTACTTTTGTAATAATTTAATGTTTAAAATAAAAGTAAATTTCACACAAAAAGAAACAAGAGCGTAAGTTGAATTGATATAAACTGGATTTTTATTAGATGAATGGTAGTTCGTCAAAGACGAATCTCTAAGATTTCTGTTTTTACAAAAGGGAAAATGGTAAATTGGAAAAGTCTATATTACACACAATGACCTTATTCCTCCATCTAACTTCTACTATCCAGACGTTGTCTTTGACTGATGCGAGCTTTACTGATGTAGAGCCTTGATTTGAATCTTGCAGATACAATTACTTCCCTTTTTATCCCTTGTTTTGCGTAAACTGCCCCAAAGGGTTTTCAATTTACCGGGATTTTTCTGTTTTATGCCCCTAATTTTTGCCTGGATCGCCTTTTCGGGTTTTCAATCCACCGGGACTCTCTTTTTTGCATAAGCCGCCCTTGTGGGTTTTCAACTTATCGAGTTGTTCTTTTATTTTAGGCGAAATATTTTTTAAATGCATTGGAATTCACCAGGCGTGGTAAATCCTCTCCATCCATATTTGTCAAAATGAGAGCACCTCATGAGAAAGAGTGCTTTATAACATATGGTCTTTCGTAGTTTGTATTCCACTTTCCACGAGTGTCGTGTTGCGTGGGCAAGATTCTTTTAAGTACCAAGTCCTCTTCCACAAATTATCGAGAATTGACTCTTTTATCAAAGGATTTCTTCAATCTTTTATGATAGAGCTGACCATGGCACAAAGCTTTGAGACGTTTCTCTTCTATCAAATTCAACTGGTCGTATCTGCTCTAACACCACTCGACATCGGTCAGTTTTGCTTCCATTAACACTCGCATCAAAGAGATTTCAACCTCAATCGGGAGCACTGCTTCCATTCCATAGACCAAGGAAAATGGGGTTGCCCTTGTTGAAGTTCTCACAGAAGTTCGATACCCATGTAAGACATATGGCAGCATGTCATGCCAATCCTTATAGTTACAACCATCTTCTGGATAATCTTTTTGATGTTTTTGTTGGCCGCTTCTACAACTCCATTCATCTTGGGTCTGTATGGGGAAGAGTTGTGGTGCTCAATCTTGAATTCTTCATACAATTCTGTCACCAGGTTGTTATTTAGGTTGGACCCATTGTCAGTTATGATCTTATTTGGCACACCATACCGACTGATAATGTTATTCTTAATGAAGCGCACCACGACTTGCTTTGTGACATTGGCATAGGGCGCTTCTTCGACCCATTTCGTGAAGTAATCTATTGCGACCAAGATGAAGCGATGTCCATTTGAAGCCTTGGGTTCGATCATGCCTATCATATCAATGCCCCACATTGCAAAGGGCCACGGAGAAGAGATGACATTTAGAGGAGTCGGAGCCACATGGATCATGTCTGCATAAATTTGGCACTTATGGCATTTTCTGGCGTACTCAAAGCAATCTGTCTCCATGGTCATCCAAAAATAACCAGATCTTAACAATTTTCTAGCCATAGAGTGTCCGTTGGAGTGAGTTTCAAATGTTCCCTCATGTACGTCTACCATCAATAGGTCTGCTTCGTGTCTGTCCACGCATCTGAGCAGGACCATATCTAAGTTTCTCTTGTACAATATGCCTTCACTCAACAGGAAGTTTGCTGCCAGCCTCCTTAACATTTTCTTATCCTTCTTGGATGCCCCAAGTGAATACTCTTGCTTCTCGAGAAAACATTTGCTGACATGAAACCATGATTTGTCATCCTTTACTTCTTCTGTGCTGAAAACATACGTAGGCTGATCATGCCGACTGATCGTGATGTGAGGAGTTTCATTCAAGTATTTGACCTGATACATGGAGTAAAGGGTTGCTAAAGCATCTACCATTTGATTCTCTTCTCGCAGAATGTGATGGAACTTGACCTCTATAAAGAAGGTGGCAATCCGCCTTGCATAATCTCGGTACGATATCAAACCAGGATGCCAAGTTTCCCATTTATCATTTATCTGGTTTATCACCAATGCATAATCTCCAAACACATCCAGGAATTTGATTCTCAGGTTGATGCATTCCTCCAAGCCAAGGATGCATGCTTCATACTCCTCCATGTTATTTGTACAGTCAAAGGTGATTCTAGCGGTAAACGGTATGTGTGCTCCGTTTGGGTTGATAATGACTGCCCCAATCCCTTTTCTATGTTGGTTTACTGCTCCATCAAACATCAACCCCCATCGGGAATCTGGTTCTGGTCCTTCTTCCAAGGGAAATTCATCACTGTCTCGCATGCTGAAAGCGAAAACCTCTTCATCATGAAACTCATAGTGCACGCCCTCAGAATCTTCAATTGGTTGGTAAGCTAAGAAATCTGCCAGAATAATGCCTTTGATTACCTTCTGTGTATGGTACTCGATGTCGTACTCAATCAACAACATTTTCCATCTGGCAATCCTACCAGTTAGTGCGGGCTTTTCAAAGATGTATTTGATAGGGTCCATGCGTGAAAGCAGCCAAGTCGTGTGATTCACCATGTACTGCTGTAACTGTTTCGCAGCCTATGCTAAGGCGCAACACGTTTTCTCGATTAATGAGTACCGAGTCTCGCAATCATTAAATTTCTTACTCAGATAGTAGATGATATGATCTTTCTTCCCAGACTCATCTCTTTTCCCTAAGACACAACCCATGTATTCATCCATTACTGTCAGGTACATGATACGAGGTCTTCCCTCAACCGACGGAGACAAGATTTGAGGTTTCTGTAGATACTCCTTTATGCTTTCGAAGGCTTGTTGACAGTCTTCATTCCATACTATCGGTTGATCTTTCCTGAGAAGCTTGAAGATAGGAGAACATGTGGCAGTCATGTGCGCAATGAATCTGTAGATGTAGTTCAGACAACCCAAGAACCCTCGGACTTGCTTCTTTGTCTTAGGAGCTGGCATGTCTCTGATAGCCTTGACTTTATCTGAGTCCACTTCAATTCCTTTCTGACTGACAATGAAGCTAAGCATCTTCCCTGATCTGACTCCGAATGTACACTTATTGGGATTCATGCGAAGCTTGTACTTTCTAAGACGCTTGAACAACTTCAATAGATTCACAACATGCTCATCCTCTACTTGCAACTTAGCAATCATATCATCCACATAAACTTCAATCTATTTGTGCATCATGTCATGGAACAGGGTAGTCATAGCTCTCTGATAAGTGGCACCTGCATTCTTCAATCTGAAGGGCATCACTCTGTAGCAGAATGCTCCCCAAGGAGTTATGAAGGTGTTTTTTCCATGTCATTTGGTGCCATCTTAATCAGATTATAGCCAGAAAACCCGTCCATGAACGGAAACACACAATATTTGGCTGTATTGTCAACAAGGGTATCAATATGCGGTAGAGGACAGTCATCCTTTGGACTGGCTCAGTTCAAGTCTCGGTAGTCCACACACATACTAACTTTACCATCCTTTTTGGGCACCAATACAATGTTGGCGACCCACTATAGGTAAACAGGAGTAGCAAGAAATCCCGCATCAATCTGTTTTTGCACTTCCTCTTTAATATTCAAAGCCATATCTAGATGAGATCTCCTCAACTTTTGCTTCGCTGGCAGACAATCAGGCTTTAGTGGCAATCTGTGCTCTACGACATCGGTGTCCAACCCTGGAATGTCCTGGTAGGACAAAGAAAACACATCAGAGTACTCTTTAAGCAGCTCTATCAACTAAGTCTTGACATCGGCATCCAACAACCCTCCAATTCTAAGCTCTTTCTTGTGTTCCTATGAACCAAGGTTGATCATCTCCATTGGCTCTTTGCACGACTGGAGGTATCTGGCTTCCTCGTTGAGCATTCTGGAAATCTCCTCTGGAATCTCATTTTCTTCCTCTTCTTCGGCTTCATGTACTGGGTACTCGAAGTTAGGAGAAAGTGCAAGGTCATTGTGCGTAACATCGGGTTTTATTGTTAATCTGCACATGAATGATGATTTATCTTTTAGAGGCTGACCGACAAAAGTGGTTCATATGCAATTTTTTTTGAAAAATGTTTTGGTTTATTGTTTTTGAAAGGTTTATTTGAGTTACCATTTTCCGAAAAAAGGTAAAAAGAAAAAGACACAAATGGAAAAGTGAACTGAATACTTTTATTGAATATTAAAAATTGCAACAGTGACCCTTACATAAAATATGTATCCACTTGAGCAGACGGTTTGAAACCTAGATCGGCTTTGGCTTCATTAACTGGTAGCTCCACCACTTTTCCCCACATCTGGCTATTCCCGTCCTGCAAGATCCTCTGAGCATCCTTCAAAGAAGCTAGAGGTTCCACAAAGTGGCCATCAACCATAGGAGAATCCACTTTTAAAGCACAAGTTATTTCTAACCCTTGGAAATGAGTAGCGATTGAGTCTTCATCAGCTTCAACATATCGGTATGAACTGAGTGAGATCACCATCAGGGCTTCCTCCCCATAAACAATATTTAACTTAGATCCTTTCACAAATTTCAGGCGTTAGTAGAGAGTTGATGTCACATCACTAGCATTATGGTGTCCCTGACATAGTTGTTTAAATCCCCTGTGCAGTCACTTAAATTCCCTAACAAAGTTGTTTAGACTCCCCGACAGATTTTCCAAGAGATGTGTATCCTCAGCAAGGTCACTAATTCCCCCGACAAGTCGTTACTTCCCCAGCGAAGTCTTTATATCTCTGTTGTACCCTAAAATTTGCCCTCTCAATTTCAAAGATCAAAATACTTCCTCATATCCAAGTGGTTCTCAATAACTCAAGATGTTTCAAAGATTGATCAATAAGCCTCCTCCTAAGCAATCAACCCAAATTAGGGTTTTGCCCCTCAATGGAAAATGAAATTTCAACACCTCAAATGG